TCTGAAAATGATAGTGGTTACAATGAAAACACCCCTAGAAAGGTAGCTTATTTTGAGAAGTTAGTCTTGGACATTTTAAGATCATAGAATCTCAAAATATAGTAGACAGCTGGAGCAAAATAATAAGAAAAGTCTGTCTAGTTACAACTTTGGATTTAATTTGATTATTTTCTTTTCTACATTGTTAATTATCATTTTATTACTTCTGTTGTTGTTGTTGTTGTTGTTATGTGCCGTCGAGTCGGCCCCGACTCATAGCGACCCCTCCTTGGGTTTCCGAGGCAGTATAACTATGGAAGTGGGATTGCCCAACCTTCCTTCCGAGGAGTGGATGGTGGGTTTGAACCGCCAGCCTTCTGGTTAGCAGTCAAGTGCTTTAGCCACTATGCTACCAGAGCTCCTTTATTACTTCTAGACTGCAAATATTTAGATTTCTTCTATTGGGTAACATTTAGAGAAAATGCCCATAGGTTGTATTGTTTCACTTATAAGGCTGTTTGAGTGAGGAATGTTGAGGTAATGTAGTTCTGTTCTCCTTCAGGTTCTTATTATTTTGCTTGCTTTTTGACTAAAATAAAATTTAGGATAAATTATGTTTATACTTTCTCTCATTAAGATTTTAAATTTCCATATATTTTTCAATGTAGTAAGGAATGGATGTCCCCATTGTCCTACAAGCAAAGCTTTTCAGATTTTACTATTATCTTGAGGTTAGAGCTGTACTTCTGCACAAATAGCTTACAGAGAGAGATAACCTTGTAAAACTGGAAAGCACCTTTGAAAGCTTTTGACATCATCTAGTATAGCCTTCATATTTTCCAGATTAGTAATCCGAGGAAAGGAGAATGTTAATAATAGCTAACATTTATTGAATTTTTATCTCAGGTAATTGTTATTAATGACCCTGTAAAGTAAGTGAAGTGACTTTCCCTCAGAAAGTGGTGGCATTGCTGGCTTTAAGACCTGTTTTCTATGGAAACATAATTCACATTTTAAACACATTTAGCTCTATGTAGTAGAGAAGAACAACTAGCATTTTCTGTAATTAAATGTGTTTTTTTAATATTTAATAATAAGAAATTTTAACTATTGAAAGATAGTACCTGTTATTTGATACTGCGAAACCACATCATTAATATAGTTTTTGTTGTTTTTAAAGACTTTATCCTTACTCTTGAACACATGCCCATACATTGCTTTCATATTTTAATAAAATATATGTTCCTCTATAGTATTTTAAAATACAGTTAATAGAATTCTGTATTATTTTCCTATTGGATTTAGTTCTGTTATCCTGAAATCCAGACATTTTATAAGAACTACTTTGTCAACTCTATGTATTATATATATTAAAAAGTGTGTGTATGCCTATATAACAATGTTGATAAATTTGTATAATTTAAATTTTTATCTGTTTTACTCCAGAAATTTTATTTCTTTGTTGGTAACATTTTCCTTGTCTTTAAGTATCTGGGCAGCTGAGTGGGGTTTTGTTTATTTCTTTAGTACAAAGACAAAAATAAAACCACTATATAGTGCTATGCATATGAGAGAATATTTAATTTGAGGAGTTTGGAATGTTATTTCCTTTTTTCTTTTTTTTTTTTTGGTTATATTTTACATAACCCTGCTATAAATGCTTTTCTTACTAATTCCATAAACTGTATAAATCACTTGTTATTATTTGTTATTATTTGTTAATATATTTATAAATGATACAGTAGTTAAAGTTTGATTTTTATATAAAGTTTTAGTTTTTTTTAATTTCACGGATTTTGCCAGCATTTAGTAACAAATATGGGGTATCCATTTTTTTATTCATTCAGCATATGTTTTATGAAGAACTTAATGTGTCAGACACACATATTATTATGGATACATTGGGGAGGAAATACAGATATGGTCTGTGCCTTGATGGATCTAGGAGTCTAGTAGTCTTTGTTCAATTTTAGATCCAAAATACTTGTTCTTATATACTGGGATGGGTCTCATTTGTTCAGTATTTTTAAGGAAAGAATTTGGGATCTGATGATAATCTAAACCTAACTGAACATATGATGTCCATTATATTTATTATTTTGCAATCAGTTTTTATTCAGTGAGCTGAGAGTTTTTTTTTTTTAATCCCAAAGTAATTTTAGTAAATGTTGTCCAAAACAATTGATTTTAAGTATCACAGAAATACTGATTATTTTCTTTCACTTTTGAGCTGGTCTCACCTATCTTCCAACAACACAGCATTCAATGTGATATACTTTTTGTACATACTCATTGATGATCTTGTCATTGGTATTAGAATGGTTTCTTTTAATTTCTGCTTGTTTTGTGTTTCTAGGTATCTATGAAAAGTTCATTTTCTTTCATTTTACTGTGATTTTATATTGTTTACTTTTTTTTTTTTTTTT